GTCGTTGCAATATGCGTTTTTGCTGCTTGTTGCAGCGCTCTAGCGCTGCACGGCAAAAACGCATAACTAGCAGCACGCTTCCTCCTCTCCATCCATCACTCTCCTCCGTCTCCCTTTTAAGTTTATGTGACCCAGCCAGCCGACAAAGGATCTACCTTCAAGTAACCATTAAACACCCTATCCCAGCCCCCTCCCCTTGCTTCGGACTCCTGTGGAAGAAATCCACAGCAAACCACCCTCCTCTCCAGCTGCCACACCGAACGTCTGCCACTCACCGTGGGGTAATGTTACCTGTCATTGCGAAGAAAAATTTTTCGCGATCTAGGCGGACAGTTACAGCAATGCGAAATTCATCAATTTCGCTGGACGTGGCACTGATTTTGACCAATGTAAGCCGACGCTGAGGCAGCTGGCGTTTCTAACAGCGTCTGTAATCATTCTCATCAAAATATGCAATGAGCTCAGATCAGTCTTCGAAGATGTAAAAGGAAATTATTGATTTAATGAGAGGGGGAAAAAACAGAAACGGGTTTGTTACGCATGAATGATTGAACCACTTTGTAGATATATCACTGTACTGTGAAGAAGGAACACCACTGCTACTGATTAACGATTCGATTAAAAAATGCCTACCGGAATCGAACAAAGGCGAGATGTCGTGCCCGTCGAAATTCTGGTGCCACGTTGGCGCCACACAGAATTCACAATATTGCTGCCCAAAAAGTCGGAAAGGTACGAGCAAAATTTATGAAGAAGAATTAGCGTCAAACCAAAGCAGCTATCTTTCAAAGCAAGCGCGAGAAATATTGCGCGTGGTAGTGGTCAGGAATGAAGCAGTGTGATGAGGAACATCAAATTAGGAGTGCCAGGCTGAACTTGAGACTTGCGCATGATTCTGAAAAGCAACGCTTCAAACCCATTCACTTGGGCTATCTGGTTTTGCAATATTTCATACCCGGCTATTTTCGGTACTGCTTATTTTTTAATCTTATTTTTTATTTCTCGCGTTTTTACGTCACTGTTGCAAAGCAAGACTCATTGTGCATTTGTATTTGTGTGTGTTACAAAAAACAAAATTCACAAAATTTGTCGACACGATTGCATGCTACGACTTTGTACAAATCTGAATTTGAAGCTAAAGGCGAAGATAACTGTAAGACGCGCTAATATTAACGTATTCGTAGCACGCTGCGCAGTATCACAACTTTTCCCAAAAATAATCTGCAAGTTATAAACCTATAGGTTAATAGCTGTTGTGATAAGGTCATAAGAATAACCGTGTGTTTTCCAGCATTTAGTCATTCTAGACATGCAGCAGTTTTTGCACAAAAAAAACACAACCAGGCTATCCTTTGCTACACGCAGCTATTTGTATAGCATTTGTCAAATTATACTGTCAACGCTATTCTCACAGTTCGATTTGCCGAACATACGATCAAAGTGATCCAAATCACGAAGCATACCAAGTGCTCAGGCATGCATGTACTAGCACCAAACCTGACAAAGGCTTTTATTAGTTTCTGTAAGCTCAGAGATGAGATCGCTCGCAATATGCACGTCTTCACTCCTGGTGCCGCTTCCAGCTTAGTGATACATTGGTTTGTTTGAGTTTACATTCCTCGAACGCTAAGTCTTGTTGTTCAAGGCCAGAACATCGGATGAGACTTAATTTTTTGGAACTCTAGCCCATTTTACCAATCCGACAACTAATTACTACATCCTGAAATTACCGTAAAACAGCATTTCATTCCTTAGTCGGCACGCTGTTCGAACGGATCTGCACGAACTAATTTCGCAGCCTGCAAAGGCTAATTTTAGATTTGTCCTAGGTGGCACAGTCAGTGTCTGTAAGCCCTAAGATACCGAGGAAGCCGTAGATCCGCATATGCTATGAAAAACAGTAATGCTGGGGTTTTCACTGTTCGCTGTTTCAAGATGAGGACGCAATTTCCTGGAGTCAAGAGGTCGTCGTTAGTTTTGCTGAGCACGGAGGGCTCAGCAAAGACAGTTTCAGTCCCGTCATGAAAACCTGCGCAATTTCTGAAAAGTTTCCAAAAAGTTTCTACAGGAATTCGTTTTGCAGTGTGTCAGTGCACTGACCATTAGTATCATTGATTCGAAAAACAGTTGGGTGCGCATGTGGTGCTAAATTATTGCATGTGGTATTATTGTATAATAGCTTTGGAAGGTGTATATGCTGTGTAAACATTTCTACAGTAAAGGAGCGGTGTCACCTGGCGCCGGCGAATGGTTACGGATCAAGTCAAATACGACGATTCTGGTACGACTGGAAGAGCTCTGCGTGCAAACAGCTTACCTATTCCGGATACGGTGGAAATGAAAATAACTTCCTCAGTAAAGTGGACTGCGAGAAAGCCTGCCTCGGTATTCATTTGCCAGTTCCAATCAATATTTTAGTTAAGTGCGCCATTTATTTTTTCTTGGACGAAAAATTTTAGCCCCTTTTGAGCGCAGAATGATCGGAGTTCAAAATCCTCCAAGTTGCGACAAAACCTTTAACCCACACATTTTTGATAGGTGCTACGCCGCCGATATCATCAATAGCCTTCAGTTCGTTTGCAAATAAACTTGGCATTATTGCTTCTCATTCATCGACAAATAAGCCCAGAAATGCTGACAGCGGTAAATCTTTGTTCTCGCCGGTCTTTTGCATTTATGAAAATGAAACGCGCTAAGCCAGAAGCAAGCTGGTTTGTAAAAGAAATATATGCATACATATGCTAAGAATATGCCAAGATCATCAGCAAAATCATTTTATGAATTCTATATCAGTGATATTACTGGAACATCTCCATAAATCAAGCATGGCTGTGGCTTACTCTGTGACATTAGGTTGTATATTTTTAGTTGGTACCCGTGCCTTGTCGGTGCCTGTGTGCCGCCTCTTTAAAGGGTGACCAAGGTGATCGTTTTTTTATTGCGAACAACAAACACTCACAGGGGAGTAAATGGCCACTCACTTGACTTCCGAAGAGGTAACCTACATGCACAGATAGTTCGACTAACTGATTACCGGCTCAGGCCATATTTGATCGAAAGGAGGATACCCGGTGATAGGAAAGTATCGAAAGCACAAGGAGAGCGATAACCCAGACTGGAACGCACCAGGCTTGCCGATGTGATCATGCGTTTTTGCACTAAACTCGCAGACCGCTCATAGCAGGAATGACCCCTGCTCTGTAGCCTAACGCCTGGGCTCGTATTGGCCGGGCTTTTGCCTCTTCCGGCATGTAGAAGAAAGGGCGTCGGTTGGGATGAAGGTGTTGCACTATAGGGCCGCATGGACCTCCAGGTACATGATTACCAATCTTTTGCATTGGAGCCCGGTCCTTTTTTCTATAAATGCTCGCTTTTTGAAAAAATGCGGACTTCCAATTAACTAAAAAGTGAAAGTGTTGTTCGTCAAAAAATCCAAGTATGCGAATGAACTGAATGTTCATTTACATATTTGGATGTGGGCGGTCGCTCGCTGCAAAGCGCACTTGTTTCTGATTTTTCGATAAAGTTGAATATTTCTCATACCCACCTGCAGGGAATTTCACTTCAAGCAGAATTAAGACCGCACTTGAAAGTAGAATATCTCAGCGAAGTTTCAGCCTCACGCCTTGTTCGGTAAGTGAAATAGCCACTTCACTGCAAATTTCTTCGAAGTCGTGGCACAAGTGCAAATAAGTACTTATTTTAAATATACAGTTTTCCATGTGGGCGAAAAACATGACAGTAAAATTTCAGTCGCTGTTTTTTGGCAAGTTTTCGAATTAGCACAGTGCCAAGTAGCAAAATTTGACGTGATCGTACGCTCTGTACAAGAGTGCGCGACAGCTAAATTTGAAAAGTTTAGTTCACACATGCACAGAGGATGTTGCTCCAATGTTTCAGCTCTGTGCCTTGTCTGGTTCGCGAAATCGTTTCCTGCCAAAGAAATTTACATATCTTTTCAGTGGTCCGTACGCGGGATCTAGGCGCATGTGAGAGATCCTTAAACGGGACGGTGACACACGAGGTAGGAACCTATACCCAGTTTCAGCCTTTCAGTTTTCCTGGTTGCTGAGATGAAAGTAGGTGACAAAGTTCACTCTCTGCCGAACACACACAAGCAAACACACACAGACAGCCTCTCGACAATATGCATTTTTGCTGGCTGCGCAGCAAAAACGCATAAAAGCTGGAAATCCATCATTCGACCTGCTTTATCTGTCAAATTTGCAAGCTAGTTACTGACCGACTAGTAGGACTTTCTGATCGAGAGAGTAATTTGTGCTTAGTTCTATGCCGGAAACCAAAAAGGTTTTAAATGCTCCTACTTTTAAGATGTTGAATCGAATCCTTGCGAGTTATCACCAAATAAGGGAACCAGTGTTGCAGGAATCCAACCGTCTTTCAGGTAATTTTAATCAGTTGTTTAACTTAAGCCATACATTGAAGGTGCGACTATGTCGTACTAACAATAATGCATCGACAGCCTGAATAATTTGAATTTTTATCACCAAAGCAGTTCGCTTTGGAATATAACACATAACTGTTGCAGGTGGTATTTTGATATTGCAGCTGATCGATGCATACGCTTCAATTATTTGGGTTCCGCTGGCAACGCGAATAATTTCGAGTCTGATCGTTTGTGTATGGATACTTGCGGCACTGGTGTGTTAGCATTCTACGACGGAAACCTAGCACTTAACACAGATCATTTCGTAACTCCGTAATCAAAACAATTAGATTGCTGAAATTTTCGGAGCTTGGCCTACGGTCATGTCTGGATAGGTACATGTGAAAACAGTTTTCACGCTCGTTCTGCATCTCACATGCGTACACCTACAGTTTGGATCTACTCCGTAATTAAAATGTTTGAGTGCTGAAATTTTCTGAGTGTAGTCCGTGATCGTGTTCATTGAGAATCCTTGTAACTGCGACAGCGTGTTGGCCACTCTCAATTTGTTTAGTTAAAATTACCTGTTAAAAAAACCAGTGCTACTTAATGACAAACTTCTGCAGGGAAAATAGTACAAAAAACGTATGTTCGCACAAGCAGGGCTAGTTCGTCACTGCATAGGTTTGTGTAGCACAGACGCAAAAAATGCATAAAAATCACCCTTCATCTTTTTCTCTTGGTCTGCTTCGCACTTAGCATTTCTCCCAGTCCCGGGCAGAAACAGATGGATAATTGCGGTGCAGGACCAATACGTAAGTAGTGGCTAGAACACTTTTTTACGGTGTTCTGCACAATTTAGCTTGTGTTGTATCTGTGGGGATTTTTTGGCACAGAAAGCAGTAAGGAAAAGCGTGCAATGCGGCTAGTAAAAAAACAGACAACTGTGCGCACTGCAATATTGCTGAAATTTAGATGCATATTTTTTGGAAAGCTGAGGCGTCACTTCCTAAAATTAATTTTTATGCGTTTTTGCCTATATGCAAATTGCAATCCAGGCTGGAACGCACCAGGCTTTCCGGTGCGATCATGCGTTTTTGGACTAAATTCGTAGTCAGCTATTAGCAGAAATGATCCCTACGCTGTAGCCTAACACTTGGGCTTATAATGGTTGTGTTTTGGCCCTTTCCGAAATGCAGGAGGAAGTGAGTCAGTTGGGATGAAGGTGGTGCATTACAGAGCCACACGGACCACCAGGTACATGATTACCTGTTTTTTGCATGAAGCGCGGCGTTTTTTCGGTAAATGTTCGCTTTGTGAAACCCAGGCTGGAACGCACCAGGCGAACTGGTGCGGTCATGCGTTTTTGCATCAAACTTTGAGGTACTCCATCATATTTCCCTGCTCTTGCCCCACCCTCCACTCGATGTTTCCGCCCTTCCCTCGCCCCCGCGTTGTACACCGGTGTTTTCGAAGCGATGATATTGTGCTACATTACACAGCACGATTCAAAGCGGTATTCTGTGGGTACAGTAAAATGAGACATATGTAGTGCACAGACGCCAATGAGCGGTCTAACGCTGCTCACTGTGGCGTTGTATGTGGGCTGGGGGTGGTTGGGTGGTTCATGGCGTTTGGTGGTCGGTGTTGGAGAGCGCCCGGTGTTGAGGACGCTCGGTGTTGGGTGGAGCGGGGCGGAGGGGGGGAGGGAAGGGGGAGGGTCGGCGTTCTTTCGGTTCTCGTTTGTGCTTGGCATTTACAGATGTTCGGGGAGGGGGGCGCCTTCTGCGATTGCTTTGGAAGGGGGATACCGTAGTTTTTTGTGCAGGATGGGAACAGCGGTGTCCCCTTAGAACAGCCATGGCACCTGCCCCCTAAGAACAGCTGCGTAATCCACATCTCGGAACAGCCACGGGAAAGCGCCCGCCTCAGGGGGCTCAGGTAGCAACTGTTTTACTATAGAAAACTGATTTTACCGGCTTTATCAGCTGTTTTACCGGTCTTTTGCCTGAAGTGCGCTCGTTTTTTCGGTAAATGTTCGTTTTGTGAAAAAATGACAAAAACAAATTTTTCGAAATGCAAATTTCCTATTCACTAAAAAGTAGAAGTATTGCCCGAGCGGTCGTTTCCAAAAAAACCGCGTTCATTTACATAT